AGAGTGGGTTGAAGACAACGTTGCGGTATACTCGCACGTGACGTATGAAAGTGACGGGGCCGCCAGTCATATTAAGAATCGCTACCAGCTTCACCAGTTTGCACAAAACGATTGCCCGCAAGCCCAGAGGTTTTGTTCTGCATCTGGACATGGGAAAATGCATGCGACGCAGTTGGCGGACTCGTGAAGCGCCAGGCCACTCTGAACAACCTGAGACAACGTTCAATAAACACAATTCGGACGGCCAGGACAATTGTGAGCGTTCTATCTGAGAAACTGAAAGGCGTGCATCTTGTGTATGTGGACGAAAATGAGGTTGTTCGGTATCGTCAACAAAAAAGAAAGAAAAAAAAAAAAAAAAGAAGTGTGGTTGATTGTGCGCGCCTTTCCTGGCATTCAAATTTGGCACGCGCGGCGGCTGTGGAAATCATCAACAGAAGGCACCTGTGACATATATGTAGCACGGACAGTCGGATTTGGTTAGAAGAAACTTTATTAAATGGGTACAGCAAGGAAATCCTTAGCGTAAGGTGCTGAATTTGATTCCCCAAGGATTCCTCATTTTGAATGCAGGGACATCTTATTTATCACAGTTTTCTTCGCAAGGTATTTCACCTACTGTTTTACTTGGTGTTGGCTTATAATCTTTATGTGATCACCATAAAAGAATCACGAAACGTTATATTAGATCAGAATCAAATATCTCGGCTAGCCACGATCCATTCGTACACCAAGAGTATCGATCGAAGCTCTTACACACCGGTGCGGTCGCAGCCCTCACCTGGAATGATCTGCCCCCAGAAATAAATAGCTAACCTAAACAATTTTAGTATTCTATCGTTATTTTTGTGTGTGTAAGTTTATATTTATTTTAATTTAAATATAAGATATACCGGAAAGCAGAACTTCACACTGTATCATTTTTTTCTCGAATCACTAATCTCTAATACGATACCTCTTTGTACGCTGTATGTAGAATGCTGTATATACTTTCTCCACAATTTTACTGTGTGAACGATGGCTATAATTATAAATGGCCTCATCTGAATAAAAAAAAAATAAAAAAATTGTGTTAGTTTTATGAAACTGAAACTCAGAGTAACTTCTCGCGTAGGGCACTACTAAGTTTAGGCTTTGAAAAAGGACATTTCTTTGGGGAGTTGTGTCTTCTTTCTCAATCAGATTATGCAACATAATTTTAAAAGAAATAAATGCCGAAATAGAGTATAACAGGGTACCCAAATTTAAAAGAATCGAAGGTGGTGTTTTTTTGTTTTTTTTTTCGCGTCTGAATTTTTCGTTGTTTGATGTTTTCCCTGTGTTTGCCCAAAATATATCCCGACTATCGTATCACTCAGATACCTCATACATTTTTATAAATATTATCCACATATAAGTAGAATGCTATCTGAAAATATATGATAATGATTAAATTATTTCATGAGAAACAGGCCTCAACATTTTGCCATTTGTCGTTCGAGCAGGCATGTTTGGAAATTTTTAGAAAACGAAATATAAAAGAAATAAATATAATTATTATATATTACAAGCAAACAGTAGCCGTAGTTTGTTTCTAAAAATTAATAAAAGTATCCTAATTTTATTCCTTTAGTTATTCACTTTCAAACGTGCCCCTTCCATCAGTGCGCGTTAATGCAGCTGTCCACCTCTTCATGGCTTACAATTCTTTCTGTTCAAAAATTTTTTTTTTGTGGATTCGTTTATACGAGACACTACACCATGGCACATAAAAAATTCAGTTGATTTAAAAGTGTCGACCAGCCACTCTTTGGGCGATGTTATCTGAAATCACCCAGTTGCAGTTGAGTAGTCCTAGTAGGGATGGGAACTATACATAGTGTTTGCTTTTAATTCCAACCTATATTTTTTTAAAGTACACCTCTTAGGCGCCCGTTTCCGTGTTTCGCAGCGCCAGCATCGGCGTATTAGCTCTGAATTTAGCAGGAAGATTGACGTCGAGTAATCCCGACACCAGTTCAATTTTCCGCTAAATCTAGCGGAAAAATCAGTTTTTCCTCCTGATTTAGCTGGAAAATTAATGTCACCTAATCTCAACACCAATTCATATCCCCGCTAATTTTAGCGGGGATTTGAATTGGCGTATACGTCACGTGACGTCAGTTTTCCCGCTAAATCCAGTGGAGAAACGTAATTTGTCCGCTAAATCGAGCGGCGATGCTGAATTTGTTCTTAGGTGACGTGACACCAAGTCATGTGACGTCATTTTCCTCACTTATTTTAGCGGAGAAACTGAATTGGAGGAGGAAGGAAGAGGAGGGAAGAAGGATGGGAGGGGGAGAGGATACGGAGGAAAAGGAGGGGCATACATTTCCCTCCGTACCCTCCACTCGTCTTCCTCCTCAAGAGCTCCGCTCTCATTTCACGTTACAGAGATTTGTAAACGTCTTTCCTTTTCTAAGTGGGTGAGAGGCAGGTGCTGTCTTCACGGTGGATATTAGAAGAGAACATAATCGGCATGATAAGTTGACTAATTAACTAAAGTATGTTACTTACCTTTTCAATTATTGATTTTATGTGTCGTGCTGCAATTTCAGGATTGACGGTCACTACTCTCACAGACCAGACAATTTAAAAAAATTTGGCGAAAATGTAATGATTTAGATATATAAAGTGATACATTTTTTACGTTTTTAAAACTGATTTACTTTTGCGGGCAAGAGGAAAGGCGCAAGCCCTGCCCACAATCACGCTAAGAAGAGTGACGTAGACCTTTCAGTCATGTTGCCACTTCTATCGTCGGCGAACCCATCAAGGACATGCAGCCGAGATAATGCCAAGATGAATAAAACGAATACGTCACTCTCCCAAGTGTACTCGTGGGCAGGGCATGCGGCGCTCTTTTTGTGCGCAATTTATAAATGGGACTAAAAAAACCCAAAAATTATCAGTAACATTTTTAAACAATGTTTGAAAATCATTTTAATTAGTCTGGCCTCTAATAGTAATTTGCCGTGAATACTGCAGTTGAAACCTGACCCCTAAAACCGGTGGTTAGAAATTGAACGTATTTTAGTTAATTAACCAACGCACCAGGACGATTATTGCCTCATCTAATGTATGTCGAAGCCTGATGAATACATGGTCAAGACCGGTACTCGTTTCTTACCCCCTTAAAAAAATTTGTTCGAGTTAAAATGAAACACTTTTTGTACTCATTGGTGTCAACAATTAATATTTAATATATACAAACTGAAAGAACTCCACAAAGAGTTCTTCTTGTAAATTGTGTAAACTCTGGAGCAGTAACTTCAGTTTGGCAGTAGAGAACTCATGAATCTAGGTCTGTCCGGTGCGCGGACTAGGGTATCCCAAGAACACCCTAAAAAAAGTCTGTGCGTCTACTTCCACGCACAACACTCGGAGAGCCAATCAGCGTAACTTACGAAGACAGCTCAGCGAATGACGATGCCGAAACATCTGTTTAGACCAAAAAACGCAGTCTGAGTTGTGACATTAAGCAATGCAAGCGTGACGTTTTGCATTGCTTAATGTCACAACTCAGACTGCGGTTTTTGGTCTAAACATATGTTTCCGCATCGTCATTCGCTGATCTGCCTCCGTAAGTTGCGGTGATTGGCTCTCCGAGTTTTGTGCGTGAAAGTAGATTTAAAGACATTTTTTAGAGTGACGAAGGAAAAAAATATGCATTAAACATTTACAAATAAAGCAGTTTTGTATTGGAAGTATGGAATAAAATTTTTATCATATTGATTAGTAACTGGAAGTCACTTCGGGAAATCGGCCACAACATTCTTCCTTCTCCTCCTTGTAACAACCCCTTCTCTCCACTGGTTTTCAGTTACATTACTTGAACTATATATTGTGTCTGCGCGAAAATTGCTTCGAATCGAAAAGCGTAGCGACATTCTTAGCTTGCACGTTGCAAACGAAGCTGCCAGTGTGTTGCGACTTCAATTTCAAATGTGAAAGCTATAAATGAAGCAGCGCTATTCGATTGAACCATTAATTACTCAACCTGCGGTAAAATTGCCTCAAAGAGGCCTTTTCTAATCAAAATGAAAACGCTTTTGCAAAACAATTTCTGAAAATACGATAATAATTAATAACTAATTTCTTATTGCTCTTAGCTTAATTATCCCAGTGTATATTTCCTGCATGCTATAGCTTCGAGAGAAAAAAACGGTTTTAATACTAATCATAGTTATTTGTTTAATGAACTTCTTTAAACAGCGAGGTGGTAATTTGGGCCAGTTGGTTCATATTAAAAAACAAAACAAACAAACAAACAAACAAACAAACAAACAAACAAACAGCACCGAATAAACGCGGAGAAGAAAAAGATGGATTAGTTAAATACCGCACACAAAATGAGGAAGCTTCGGTGAAAGTTCTCTGTGTCGAACAACCAGCGTTAATCAGCGTAAGCGATCAGTTAGGCTAAAAAAATCTTTTTGATACTACCGATGAAGTTTTCACGGTATATATTTTTCGTTTTGTTTATAGCCGGCTCTTTTCACAACCGCACAGATAATTTCCTGCTGCACACATTCAGCGACCTTGAACGGCAACCCCAGTTCAGCCTTCTTTCCATTCTTCTAAAAGAGTCAAGCCTGAAATAAAAAAAAAAAGAAGAGACAAACAGCTCCTTCCCTGCTCCAGGCGTCCAATATAGCGACCATGTCCATCGCGATCGGCGTACGGCGGCTAAGCCGCTAAGCTTCCGAAGGCCGAAACAGGCCGAGTCAGCCTCGTTACCCAGCCGCCTTTCCAATTATAGGTGGCAGCGCGATCGCGACGGCGAACGAGGCGCTAGATTGAGCGAAGCCATACTTGAGATGCTATCTACCCGTGAGTATGCCATCCATGGTCTTTCTAGCGCAGCCACTCTTTCAATGAAATCGACGTGGGGCATCGACGAAGAGTTCGATGACCCGACGATCGATTCATAGCGGTAGCGTCGGCAAAGGGCGTCAGAGGTAAAGATTAACCGAACGTACCTGCATCAAGACCTCCATGGCTGCACCGGAATCACAATACAGCTGTGCACTCACAAACAAGAGAGCGGAGTAGCGGCACTATTTGAAGCGGTTATCGTGAGGGGGTTCTTTCTGGACGGTTGAGGCGCACAAATCTTCACCGTTGAGAGTCGTTCGAATCGCTTACGCAAAACACTGCACCTGGACGTAGCAGTTACAGCGACCTTCAGCGCGGACAGAGGTGCTTATCCGACGATGACCAAGCTGCACACTGGAAGCGAATTCCTCGTTAGAGGCATGCTCAGTACTTGCGCAGGGGGGTACTAAAAACCAGCTATGGTTTTGGATGAAAGGTAATTTCGGGTCTCGCACCACCCAAACGATCCGGGAAGCCTAGCGTTTTTGCGAAGGGGCGAGTTTGTCTCACTGCCGGGTCGGCGGAGGGGGCGGAGGACGGAGGAGGTTGACGGGAAGGATGAAGCGAAATGGCGGCGGCTCATGACTCTTCGTTTATTTCTTTTCCTCTTCCTTTCGTAATCTTTTAGCTTGGTTTCCCGTCAGTCCTGGAGTTCGTCCAGAAGTCTTTAAAAAGCCGCCAAACCTCCCCCGGTGGCATCTTCCTCCCCCTCCTCCTGTCGTTGCCGAAGGTTTCTTTTCAAGTCCTAGAAAATATTTGGGTCCCTCCTCGGGGAGTCTCCGCCGGAATCGCCGCTTTTAGTTCCAAAGGGTGGCGTTTGCGTTGGCGAGAGCTTTTCACCAGGACGGGAAGGCAGGGTTCGAGCTTCAGGGTCAATGTCTGCGCGGAGGTTTGTTGTTTTTGAGGAAGGGATGTTTGTTTGGATCACATTTCTCCGTCGACGTGTGAACTTCTAACGGCGAGGCTTTGAGATTCCGGGTGGAACGATAGACCGATGGATAGATGGATGGATCCAGATCCAATCACGAGCCAATTAGACATTACGTGGTATTTTACTTCAATGCACGTATTGGTGCCCTGGTCTCGGATCACTGATGTAAATGGGTGGACAGTGCTTCGTATTGAGCTATGAGTGACTCAACAATTTTTTATTGCCAAGAAAGCCACGACGTAATGGCTCTTTGTGGTGCCAAAGCTTTAAAAATGACACAGCGTTTTTGGATTCGGAGCATTATTTGTTCAAACCGGATCAATGCTAAGCGTGTCATAGTTTAGCGTGGAACGTGATTGGACGTGGCGGCCGGTGGCTTTGGCCTTTAGTCCATCGTAGAATGAGACGAAGTATACCGCTATATTTGAACCAAGACTGAGTGTTCGGCAATCTGGAGTTTACTTTGAATTAAAAAAACAAAAAAAAACATTTGTATATTTTTTTTTCGAAAACACATTGTACTTCAGTTTTAAATTTTGTAACACGGACACACACACCTATAAAGTTATTTCTGTATAATGTTGTCGAAGTTTCATTTTATCGAAGAACCTAAAACCCTTTTCAGTCTACTGTTTTGGTTGTTGGGATTATGATGCGTTGTAATAAATAAGAACGAGTATATCTAGAGCTGCTTCGCAATTGCTACGTCCCTGCGAACGAAAAAACGAAAACACGAATAAAATACTGACTAAAAATTATTTGCAAGCTCGAGTAAACTCCAGACGCTTACCTGTTACATCCCTTTTATTGCGGGGTATCTATACTTGGCAATTCACATTTGGCATACCAGTTGGATACTCATTCTTTGTGGAACACCGTTCAAACAAAATGTCTGCCGGTTTTCTTGTGAGTTCCTTAAAGCGCTGATACAATTTTGCTGAATCACGAACAGCATCCGCCAGAAAGAGAGCGGTTTATTATCTATGCGGAAAGCCTTCAACAACCACGGCATTATTAGACACTTTTATTCTAGGCATTGTTCGTCATAAACATCCAAGCACCGGTCTCGAGCAAAAATTTACAAAACGCATCTGCTTCCAGTTTGTACAAGCCATTACCTTTATTTATCTTTAAAGCGGAAGAACCACTCAGTTATTTTAGCCTGTGCGGCCGGGGTTGAAATGTAAGCTTGACGTTTTGCATTGCTCAGTGTCACAACTCAGACTGCGTTTTTTGGTCTAAACATACGTTTCCGCATCGTCATTCGCTGAGCTGTCTCCGTAAGTTGCGGTGATTGGCTCTCCGAGTGTTGTGCGGGAGGCAGACAAACGGGCTTTTTCTAGAGTGTAAGCTGTCTAATGTGTTGTCGCTCATACACTCTAAAAAAAGTTTGTGCGTCCACTTTCCCGCACAACGCTCGGGCAGCCAATCACCGCAACCTACGGACGCAGCTCAGCGAATGAAAATGCCGAAACATGTGTTTAGACCAAAAAACGCAGTCTGAGTTGTGACATTAATCAATGCAAAACGTCACGCTTGTATTTCCTAATGTCACAGCTCAGACTGCGTTTTTTGGTCTAAACATATGTTTCGGCATTGTCATTCGCTGAGCTGCCTCTGAAAGTTGCGGTGATTGGCTCTCCGAGTGTTGTGCGGGAGGCCGACTCACGGGCTTTTTTTAGAGCGTAAGTTGCCTAACGTGTTGTCGCTCATACACTCTAAAAAAAGTTTTTGCGTCTACTTTCACGCACAACACTCGGTGAACCAATCACCGCAACTTACGGACGCAGCTCAGCGAATGACAATGCCGAAACACATGTTTAGACCAAAAAACGCAGTCTGAGTTGTGACATTAATCAATGCAAAACGTCACGCTTGCATTGCTTAATGTAACAGCTCAGACTGCGTTTTTTTGGTCTAAACATATGTTTCGGCATTGTTATTCGCTGAGCTGCCTCTAAAAGTTGCGGTGATTGGCTCTCCGAGTGTTGTGCGGGAGGCAGACTCACGGGCTTTTTTTAGAGCGTGAGCTGTCTAATGTGTTGTCGCTCATATACTCTAAAAAAAGTTTGTGCGTCTACATTCACGCACCACACTCGGTGAACCAATCACCCCAACTTACGGACGCAGCTCAGCGAATGACAATGCCGAAGCATATGTTTAAACCAAAAAACGTAGTCTGAGTTGTAACATTAATCAATGCAAAACGGCACGCTTGCATTGCCTAATGTCACAGCTCAGACTGCGTTTTTTGGTCTAAACATATGTTTCGGCATTGTCATTCACTGAGCTGCCTCTGAAAGTTGCGGTGATTGGCTCTCCGAGTGTTGTGCGGGAGGCAGACTCACGGGCTTTGTTTAGAGCGTAAGCTGTCTAATGTGTTGTCGCTCATACACTCTAAAAAAAGTTTGTGCGTCTACTTTCACGCACAACACTCGGTGAACCAATCACCGCAACTTACGGACGCAGCTCAGCGAATGACAATGCCGAAACATATGTTTAGACCGAAAAACGCGGTCTGAGTTGTGACATTAATCAATGCAAAACGTCACGCTTGCATTGCTTAATGTCACAGCTCAGACTGCGTTTTTTGGTCTAAACATATGTTTCGGCATTGTCATTCGCTGAGCTGCTTCTGTAAATTGCGGTGATTGGCTCTCCAAGTGTTGTGCGGGAAAGCAGACGCACGGGCTATTTTTAGAGTGTACCGGGGCTTCCAACGAGAACGCCATTGGTTGTCGCCTTGGTCACACAATCGCTTACAGCAGCCAATGGGAGTGGAGGGGGCCACCTGCGAAGGAGACAGCGTTATGGCGGTGACACCAAATTCTTTGCTAGGGAGAATACATTACACTCCGCTAACTTCCATTAGACAGCACAAATAGAGCGCGAAATACTCCCCTACCGGTGCGGGTAGCTCGCGTTCGAGAAAACGCATGCACGTGGTGCTATCCACGCTCTCGCGCGGTCGTACAGTGCCGACTAACCGCTCATTGACACTGGCAGCGGATCCGCGTTCGCAACCGCTTTGCGAACGCGGATCCGCTTCCAGTGTGAATGAGCGGTTAGAGAGCCACCACCTGCGCACTGGGATAACAAGTTTGCCAAGAAAGCAAAGACGGCTGTCTCGACTGGCGCTAGAGATGCCCCACGATTATTGATGGCGTGAGCTACCTTTCTCGAGTTAAAGGGAAAACTCCCGAGGCTGCGGCGCATCCTGCCGTTCCAACAGCCCAAAGCCTGTTCAAAGTCAAGTCCGCTGGATTTTTTTTCAAATTTAAATGTGTTCCATTTGTAGAGTATTTGGTGACGCTATATATTGTTCTTTCGGTGGCAACGCTTTCGTGTCTCGTTTTCGGATCTCGCTTTTGCGTCTTACGTTCTTACTTAGTTAACATCATCGGTCTTACATTAAAACTGTAGGCAGACAACGCCCAGAAACAGCCGGATGCTGTTTTTCGACGACAGAAGGACTTTGCGAAGACGCGAGAGCTCGCCTTGTTTCCCGCAGTTAAACACAAAACTCGGTGTTGTTTTTTTTTGCAGTTCTTTAGCTCCTCCCTCTCCCACATGGGAACAAGGCCAGGGCTCTGCTCAAACGTCCAACACATGGCAGACACGCCACGCCGCAAACGCAATCCTGAAAAACACAAACGCCCTGCCAAACTCACCGTTTTTGCTTACGCGAGAAAAAATGTTTACCCAAGTCTGACGCAACTCAACGCTGGGAAGAATTTGGTTGCACTCGAGTGCCGCTTTGTTTCGGCGCCGGTCGGACATGACTGCCGCTACTCTTTCAACATCCTTGTGTCTTCGTTCTTGGCCTCGTCTCGTTCCCGCGCTTTTTGATGTGTCTTGGGACTCCTGCCCTCCAGACGCCCGACGTGGACTGGTCCAGTTGACAACGAGGCCGACACTTCTTCGTCGAACAATTCTTGCCCCCAAGTTTCGCAAATGCAATTTGTTTGTGCCAAGGACTGTCGCACTGGTGGAGTGACAGTTTGATGTTCTTGTTGGTGGTTCGGTGTTCTTGTCAGTGTAATTTTGGAAGAGAGAAACGTTCTCTGAGCAGATGGGACTACAAAAAGTTCTGACGCTTTAACCACGACTCGTGATCACCGCTTCTTAACCCTTTTCGTGTATTGCGCCGTGACCAAGGTAGTTTCCTCTGTATTCGTGCAATGTTAAATGGAGAGCTATGAATCAGGTTTTGCATTTCTCACACATTGTATGAATCTAACATACTGTAAAAAAACTGAGTCAGATTCAAACTAGGGCTGGGCAACTGATCGATTAACCTTCCGTTTAATCGATTAAGGCTTTAATCGCGATCAAACTTTTTAACCGGTTAATCGGTTTTTCAATCGGCACTCAAAAAGAACTGGACGCACGCGTGGCTCTATCCTGGACGACCTGCCCGAACTAGGAGTGACTCATGCCCCCCCCCCCCCCCCTCCCCCCTTAAGGAACACGCTGCGTGGCGTGGATCCGTTCGTTCTGTCCCGAGCAATTTTCCGTTCCCAGCAAGGTGCTATGAGCAAGGTTCAATTCTCGCGCTCGAAAAGCATCACGTGTTCGAGGATATACATTACAGTTCTGCCGAGGCCAGAAGAAAAAGCCGGGCCCGCTATTGATCCCCGCGCGACCGCGAAACTTC